CCCTTCTGATATCATAAACACATCAAATCATCAAATTCAAATAAATCAGATTACCTTGGAAAAATTGTCAGCGGCATAACGGCAGTCCATATAAATTTTGACAGATCAAATCACAGTTTCCGAAAATTACCAAATTATCACAGATAGTGTAAAACATCATTTTATGACTTTCATTGTACTGAAGCAATATTTTTCAACATTCAGATAATTTTCTATTCGATAAAAACTCCGCAGAATTCTAATTACCGGGTGAAAATCTTCCAGAAAATAATTAAAGCATGCAAAATCATCATTTCTAAAACATACCAAAAGTTACGCTGTAAAAGTTTTACCGGTACGTAATTATACTAGATTTTCGCTAACGAAAAACGAATTTGAAACAGAAAATCCTTCAAAAATCACATTTATGAAAAATGAGAAAGGCATAATGTGCCTTACCTCAAGTCGATCAACTTTCCCAACTATGTCGACGGACGAAAACGGACCAAAGTAGCCCAAAATTAACTTTTTCTTCCTCTTTCTTCATTTTTCTCTCTCCTGCCCTTTCTCTTTCTTCAAAAATGACACTATTCGGATATTTATCAAACAGGATCGTCCAGGACGATGACCCGATCATCCTGGGATGATCTCCTCTGGACTCCAATCGTCTAGACGAAAATTAATTCCAATTTCTTTCGTCCCTCGATGATGCTCTCGGAAAAAATTTCGTCCTGACTAATTCAGATTTGTACAGATGAACCTGTTATTTTACTCTGTTCGTACATGTTCGTACAGACAAACCATACAGATTTTCAAAATTTATTCAGTTCGTACTAGTTCGTACAGGCAGTTCATACGTACTAACAACACAAAAACATTTTTTTTTCTTTAAAGAAGAACTTGAAATTTCAGGGTTTCACAATCTACCCACCTTAAGAAAAATGTCGTCCTCGACATTCCCAAAGCAAAACTGAGTTAGAACAGACTGGGATACAGCTGTCTCATGTCTGATTCCTTCTCCTAAGTAGCCTCTCTGGCTATTCTGAACTTCCACTAAACCTTAACCATAGGAAACTGTTTACTTCTCAGCTTCCACACATCATAAGCCAGAATTCTTTCAGGTTCTTCTTTATATTATAGATTCTCCTGAACGTCAATATCATCAGTAGAAAGTTTCTTTTTAGAGTCAGATATCCACTTTCTCAAAGAGGATACATGAAACACATTGTGTATATCAGTCATCTGATCACGCAATAACAACCTGTAAGCAGAATTACCAACCATTTCAATGACCTCAAAAGGTCCAACAAACCTTGGACTGAGTTTACTTACTCTTCCAAATCTGCGAACACCTTTCATTGGACTGACTTTGACATAATCAATGTCACCAATCTAAAATTCAACCAGTCTATGTTTCTGATTGTAATACTTCTGCTGCCTTTCCTGTGCAGATTTCAACCTTCCTTTAATCAAATTGATCTTTGTCACAGTATCATCCACAAAAGTTGAACCCATTATTTGTCTATCTCCCACCTCAGTCAAAGGAGTTATACACTTTCTGTCATACAGAGCTTTGTAGGGTGCCATACCAATACTAGACTAATAATTGTTATTGTACGCAAATTCTTCAGTGGCATATGATCTTCCCAACTGCCTCCAAAATCCAAAACACATAATCTCAGAAGATCTTCCAGTACCTGAATAGTCCTCTCTGATTGTCCTTCAGTCTGCGGATGAAAAGCCGTACTAAAATGCAACTTTGTACCCAATCCTTGTTGAAAACCTCTCGAAAGTGTGGAAGTAAACCGTCCATCCCGATCAGATACAATCACTTTCGGTACACCGTGCAATCTGAAAATTTATTTAACATAAATCTGAGCTAACTTATCTACCAGATCCGTCTATCTGATCAGAAGAAAATGTATAGACTTTTTCAATTGATCGACAATCACCCAAACAACATCATGTCCTTGCCTTGATCTAGGAAAACCCATAGCAAAATCCATCGTCACCTCTTCCCATATTCACTCAGGGATAGGCAACAACTGCAAAAGATCTCCTGGTCGCTGATGTTCTGCCTTCACTAACTGACAGGCTTCACATTTCAAAACAAATTATGCTATGTCCTTTTTCATTCCAGGCCACCAAAAAAATCTTTTCATATCTCCATATATCTTACCACTTTCTGGATGAATGGTATAGCCCGAATAATGAGATTCATGCAAAATCTCATTCCTCAGATCTCCAGATATAGGAATCCACAGCCTATTCTTATAGAAAATAATACCAGAATCAGAAATTCGTAGTTCAGGTTTCTTACCAGATTCGATCTATTCAATCAACTTCAAATATTCAGCATCTGACTTCTGAGCTTCATAAATCTTTTCCTCCAAAGAGGGCTGAATACTCATTTGGGTCACTATACCAGGATCCAAAACAGTAAAGGAAATCACCTCCAGTTGCAATCTTTCCATATCTCGTATCAGATACTAATCAGAAGTGAGCTGAACACATGATAATCCAAGGGAGTTTCTACTCAAGGCATCTGCCACCACATTAGCCTTACGAGACTGATACTAAATAGTCAGATCATAGTCCTTAATCAACTCAAGCCATCTTCTTTGCCTCAAATTTAGATCCTTCTAAGTAAAGATGTACTTCAAACTCTTATGATCTGTGAATATCTCACACTTGACGCCATACAAGTAATGTCGTCAAATCTTCAAAGCAAATACAACAGCAACTAATTCCAAATCTTGTGTTGGGTAATTCTTTTTATGTGGTTTCAACTATCTAGAAGCATAGGCTATTACGTGACCATGCTGCATCAAGACACATCCCAAACCTTTAAGTGAAGCATCACTGAATACCTGAAATCCTTTCGTACCAGATGAAAGTGCTAATACTGGAGCAAAAGTCAAACAATTCTTCAATCTCTAAAAACTAGCTTTAGACTACGGTATCCAAATAAAAGCTAATGACTTTTGAGTCAATCTCGTCAAAGGTGCAGAAATCTGAGAGAATCCCTTTAAAAATTTTCAATAATATCCAGCCATGTCCAAGAAACTATGTATCTCAAACACCATAGTAGGCCTTTGCCAATTAGCAACTACCTAAATTTTCTGGGGATCAACAGAAATATCTTCACCGCTCACCACATGCCCCAGAAAAGAAATGATCTTCAGCCAGAATTCCCATTTGGTGAATTTTGCATACAACTGATGTTGCCTCAAAGTCTCTAACACAATTCGAAAATGTCTGGCGTGATCTTCCTCAGAAGCAGAATATACTAGAATATCATCTATGAAGATAATCACAAACTGATCCAGATAATCTTTGAATACTCTATTCATCAAATCCATAAAAATAGCTGGTGCGTTGGTTACCCCAAATGGCATAACCAAAAACTCGTAGTGCCCATACCGAGTACTGAAAGTTGTTTTCATCACATCAACTTCCTTCACCTTCACCTGATAGTATCCTAATCTTAAATAAATCTTTGAAAAGATAGAAGATCCAGCAAGCTGATCAAACAAATCATCAATCTGTGCTAAAGGATACTTATTCTTGACTGTAACTTTATTTAAATCTTTATTGTCAACACACATCCGCATTGTACCATCCTTCTTTTTCACAAATAGAATAGGTGCTCCCCAAGGCAAAATACTAGGACGGACAAATCATCTATCAACCAACTCATGGAGCTGAACTTTTAACTCTGCAAGTTCTTTTGGTGCCATTCTATACGGAGCTTTAGATATCAGAGCCGTATTTGGAAATACATCAATACAGAATTCAACATCTCTGTCTGGAGTTAAACCAACCAACTCCTCAGGAAATACATCTAAAAAGTCTCGTACAACTGGGATATCAGAAATAGAACCCACATCTATATTTATATCCCGTAGTGATGTTAAAAATACCGTACAACCCTTCTTTCACATTCTTCTGACTTCCAACATAGAAATCAAACAAGACAAAATACCTCTTAATCCTTAGAATACACACCTTTCACCATCCATGAACAGCTAACTTGTTTCTTCAAACAATCAATCTGAGCCTCATACAGACTCAGCCAATTCATACCCAAAATAACATCATACAAAGAAATTGACAACAAAATCAAATGATACTTCCACTTCTTGCCAGAATTTTCAATCTCACATAAACAAAACTTCTGGGCTATCAAATTATTTCCAACCGGCAAAAGAACATAAAGTGAAACACGTAATGCAACGGAAGCCAGTTGCAAAGCATCAAAATAACGCTCAGAAATAAATGAATGACTAGCTCCAGAATAAAACAAAACACGATAGGGATGTTTAGAAATGTAAATAGTACCTGTCACCACATCCAGAGCATCTCGAGCCTCTTGCTGATTCAAACTATACACACATGGCTGAACTGGAGCTGAAGCTACAAAACTACTAGGCTCCCTCTGATTACCACTAGCTGGTCGAAATGCCACAGAACCTGAACCACCAGTTCTACCAGATGATCCTTCAAAAGTAGTACGTTGAGGAATTGCCCTCGGCCTTCCTGCCGATCTAACAAAGCTCTCTGATCTGGACTTAGATCGTCGATCAAATCCGGCTTATGGACACTGTTATCAGATGTCCTGGCTGACCACATCTGAAATACTGACCAGTCATCCTATAACATTGGCCAAAATATTGTCGTCCATAATTTTGGCACACTGGTGGCCCACTGATTGAACCTGAACTGGTCACACTTCCACTACCAGAAACTGTAGCAGATGCTGACTATCCACTCCACTTAGAGTCTCCAGATACAAATCTATTTTTCTTCCCAGAAAAACTACTGTTAGATGTATCATCGCTGAATCTCTTCATACTAGCAGTCCACCACTGCTGAGTAGCCATCAGATAATTCTCTATCAGTCGAGCTCTCTCCACAAGCTCAGAGAAATCATAAATGTGAAATGGTACTAAGGGTTACCTCATACTATCCTGTAGTCCCCTAAAAAATCTATAGCACTTCTCTGCAGAAGTACTCAACAACTATGGAGCATATATGCCTAACACAGTAAACTCAACCTTGTACTGCATAACTGTCTTGCTCCCCTGAACCAATCTCAAAAATATCTCCTGCATTTGTTGTCTTGCAGAAGGGGGTATAAACCAAGATCTAAATACTTCAGAAAGTTCTTCCCATGTAATCAGAGAGTTCCGTTTACCTTGGAATTTCTCCTCCTGCTGGCCCATCCACCAGCGCTCCGCTTCATCTTCCAACAGAAAAACTGCTAACAGTACCTTCCTATCGGAAGGGCATTGCATACCGTCAAATGTTTTTTCGAACCTCATCAACCAATCCTCAAATCTCGGAGGATTCAATCTAAGAAACATTTGTAGATGTCGATCTACATCTTCAGATCTAACAGCAGAAACGGTATTCTGTATCTCACTCATCATCTGAGCAACCAACGTAGCAAATTGTGAAACTGTATATGAACCAACTACTGGGGCAGAACTATTCATAGGAGCTGCCTATTTAGCACTCTGCCCATCAGTCATATCTGGGTCTAGTAGATCCATAATCATATAGAAAGAAACTATGCACATAAAATGAAAATAATAAAAACTTAGACAGATTGAAACTACCCCACCAAACTTACAGATTAATTCCTATAGCTCTGTTTTACGATCCAAATTCCAAAACTATGCTCTGATACAACTTTAATTGTCACGACCCAACCTGATCAGAACGAATCCCATCACGTCGAGTTGAGATGGATGAATCCAGGATCTAGCTTTGGAATTTGATTTCAGACTTTCTTCTAATAATCAGACATACAGAAAACACAGAGAAACTATAAACATCCAAATATACGGACAAAATCATCCAATATTTTTTTCTTTCTCATTCCTCAAAATAATCATGTACATTACAGTGCATGGCTATAAACAGAAAGAACAGAACAGAAGAACAGAATAGCCATGACCATACAAAAATCAAAAGTACAAAAATACACTAGCCAATCAAAATCTCCAGAAACTCACAACAAAATCATCAGAACAGTTTATTCAAGTAGTGTATAAAATTCAGATGATCGTATAAAAACTCATACAATCAGACAGAATATAAATATACATACAAAATAGAAAATTAAATAAAAATTAAATAACTGATACAGAAGAACTGAATTATTTTCATATAACATAATTAGTCAAATAGGATTTCAAATCAGAGTTCAGATCGTATTTCAAATCACATATCACAGGATCGTACAAATCATAAAGCACATTGTTCAAGCAGATAAGATCACATATCACATATCCCTGACCTAGACAGAATTTTAACGGATTCTGGCCCCTTATGCCTCCCCTTCCCTGACACAAACAGAATCTCAAAGGATTCTGGCCACTTATGCCTCCCTTGTGCTTACAACACCAGAATATATATCAGATATACAGAATTATCAGATCAAAATTTATTTTCAGATTCTCGGACCCTGACAGAATCTCAAAGGATTTTGGCCCCTTATGCCTCCCTTCCCTGACACAGACAGAATCTCAAAGGATTTCAGCCCCTTATAACTCCCTTCTGATATCATCCAAACACATCAAATCATCAAATTTAAAAAAATCAGATTACATTAGAAAAATCTTCAACGGCATAACGATAGTCCACAGAAATTTCAATAGATCAAATTACAGTCTAAGAAAATTACCAAATTACCACAGATAGTGTAAAATATCATTTTAAGACTTTTATTGTACTGAAGCAATATTTTCCAACTTCCAGATAATTTTCTATTTGATAAAGACTCCACAGAATTCAATATACCCGGTGAAAATCTTCTAGAAAATACTCAAAATGTACAAAATCATCATTTGTAAAACATACCAAAAGTTACGTGTTAAAAGTTTTACCGTTACGAAATTATACCAGATTTTTGCTAATGGAAAATGAATTTGAAACAAAAAATTCGTCAAAAATCACATTTCTGAAAATTGAGAAAGGCATAATGTGCCTTACCTCAAGTCAATCAACTTTCCCAACTACGGCGACGGACGAAAATGGACCAAAGTCGACCAAAATCCGCTTTTTCTTCATCTTTCTTAATTTTTCTCTCTCCTGCCCTTTCTCTTTCTTCAAAAAGATACTATTCAGATATTTATCAAACAGGATCATCCAGGACGATCTCCTATGGACCCCAATAGTCCAAATGAAAATTAATTCCAATTTCTTTCGTCCCTGGACGATGCTCTCGGGAAAAATTTTATCCCGATGAATTTAGGTTCGACGAACCTGCTATTTTACTCAGTTTGTATAGGTTCGTACAGACAGTTCGTACAGACAAACCATACAGATTTTTAAAATTACTTTAGTTCATACAGGCAGTTCGTACGTACTAACAACACAAAAAAAAATCTTTCAAAAAGAACTTGAAATTTGAGGGTTTCACAAATGATGATTAAGTTTAGTCTAAACATTAAGAAAATTCATGTGATTAAAGCCCGGACAGCATCCACATTCTGCACATAATAATTTTTTCTCTTAATGTGCCCACAAGATGAAGCCGCAATAATCTTCTTCTTTTTTGTGTTGGGAGGTGACAAGTGCATATCCATAAATTGATAATATATGACAATATTTAATACCAATTAAATAGGGGGTTACAAGCAATAATTACGATAAATTATTTTGCAGCGTAAGACCAAAAAATCTAAAGAATGAATGAACGATTAAGGACACTAAAAATAAAGGAATTAAAATAAATATATGTTCATCATCACCTTCAATAACATTCGATGAAAGGGAGCTGAGATTAGTTAGGTTGGATGCTAAGCAAACTAGCCAAAAAAAAAAAAAAACAAAAGAGAGAATTAACAGTAAATAATGGCATCCAAAAAAATCACGAGAACAAATTGTCATATATTAACAAAAGAGAGAATTCAATCATGTGAACCGTAAAAAAACAATACAATGCAAATAGCATAACAAATGTCTCAGGAAGTGAAGAGACAACATCATAGAGCAACTAAGTAGGAGCATTCTATCATATGGTAGATTAAAGAGTATTCAATTATACATAAAGGGGTAGGATTAATTTAGACCCATTGCTAATAGCAACAGATGGAGTTCAATAGAGAAGAACTAAAACCTTGAGGAATAATCATTACTAGTTGTATATATATAAATTAGTTTTCCTTAATTGCCCGCTATAAGTTGAATGTTTGATCAAGAATCGTCAAGTTGGAAAGTATTGAAGAAAAATTTACTCAGAAAAGGGGCTTCGTGAAGTCATCAACAGGCTAATCATGAGTGGACATATGATGGACTACAATTATGTTAGACTAGATACACTCATGAATGAAATAATTATCAATCTCAATATGTTTGGTTCTGGCATGAACAATTATTATGAGCTAGAGAGATTGTTGATATATTGGCATAATTAAGATAAGTTGGATCAGTAATAGATACAACAAACCTCTACAATAGCCTACGTAACAAAATGATGTCCATCACGGTTGAGAAGAGAGCTTGATATTCAACCTCTATAGATGAACGAGCAAAAGTCACTTGCTTCTTGGCCAACCAAGAAGTTAGAGCAGATCAAAGAAAAATGTAATATACGGTGGTGGATTTTTTATTGTCGGTGTCCCCAGACTAATTAGGGTAAGTAAATGCAATTAGTTGAAGGCATTTGGGTATAATAGTATAACCATAGTGTAAGGTTCCTCGAAGATATCTCAAAGTGGATTTTAGCATATGAAAATGTAACAAGAGTGGGGAATACATTATTGACATAGTTTGTTGACACAAATGATATATCAGGCTTTGTGATTGTAATATATTATAGTGAGCCAACCAATGCTCTATATAACTTAGGATCCTGAACAATAATCGAAAGAGCAGTTGGAACAGATGTTTTAGAAGTTATGGGAGCGTTGACAAGTTTATTCAAATCCATACGTACCTTGGATAGAATGGCAACATCATATGATTCTTGATGAAGTATAAAACATGTATGAAATTTTTTAAAATTGATAAGGAAAAAATTGGATTGAATGCCAAGGTGTTTGAGTTGAAATATACTTTTAAGAAATACGGCTAAAATCTTATTAAAATTATTGTTGGAGACAAAAATATCATAAATGTTCACGAACAGATAATTACAAGTATCTTGATTACGCTAAACAAGTAATGTTGGATCAGCATCAATAGCTTTATAACCCCCAATGTAAAAGGTGATCAATGAATATAGAAAACCATTGCTGAGGCGCCTTCTTTAGTCTATATAAAGCTTTGTTTAATTTACACACATATGATGGGTGATTCGAATCTTGAAATCCTTGAGATTGTGACATAAAAATAGTTTCCAAAATGTCTCCATGAAGCAAAGTATTTGATACAACCAACTGATGAGGCAATGAAATTGTAATGAAAGAAGAAAAAAATACAAACTATGGGCATTTTAGCATGGGGCTGAATGTATCATGAAAGTCAATACCAAACTCTTGTTTATGTCCTTGTGCAATAAGTATAACCTTATACTGAGGGATGGAGCCATCAGCATGGTATTTAATTTTGTATTGACATTTACATCTAAGTATGTTCTAATAAGGTGGGGAGGAACTATCATCCATGTGCCTTGAATTTATGAGGCTTAAAATTTTTAGGCATATCCTTACACCACTAAGTAAGTTTAATCGCAATAGAGTAACATAAAGTTTCAGCCATGGTTTGAGAATAATGATATAAATTAAGTTGTGTTATGTTTAAGATGATCTATCTTTGAACGGGAGACCATGGGATGCAAAAAAGGGGTGAATGGATAATGTTGGGAAGATACAGAAGGACTAAATGTTGCGAATCTATTTTCAGGGAATATAATTTTGATGATAGCAAATACTTATGTTTCTCTACGACTACCTTGCCTAGATACTAACATTTCAGGTCCACAATATCAAAGTGCAATTTGAACCAACTTAAGATTGGATAGACTAGGTCTGAGTCAGTTTGTAATCATTTACCTTTTCTTGAGTTAATTATAAATGATGTGGTTCCTGATGCTAAGTAACCTTGCACACACACACTTGGGAGAAATGTTTTAGACTATTTTAGAGTTTTTTTATTTTTGCTCACATCATCTAGGATGATCCATAAATTAGCCTGTATGATCAGTTAGAAATGAAAACTCTAATTAGTGCATCCTTGTTAAGGCAGCCAGCATTAAGCGCATCGTCCTGGACGATATTCGTATCGTTCGGGACAATAGGCTTAAATCAGAAAGAATCAACCGTTAGATCTATTTTGGTAGCTTTTATTTTTAGACATAATCTAGGACATCATCTTGGATGATGCAGTATAATTATGCCAAGATTAATCTGGTAATTAAGGAAAGCAATTAATATTTGATTGCTCGATCATCTTGTCCTGGATAGTCGTAGGATCAGCCGGTATGATCAGTTCAAAAACCTTAGTTATTCTTGGACGATCAAACATCAGTCATCTTCTATTCAGGGTG